GTGTTATAAAGTTTCATTGTTGATAAATCCATAGGAGCTAGACCACCTGCAACATGTGATGGATGCGCGAAATTTCTGTCAACTGTTTGCCGAGAAAATTCGCGGGGGTTTTTTTGTTCAGCCTTGCGACCCCGGATTTGATTGTCAATTTTCATGAGCAAAGTTGCAAAGTCCTCGAGGATTACTGGTATTTCTGTTCGATGCATCATTGCATCTTTCATGTCCTCGGAAAGACCTTCGGCAAGAGCATCAATTTTTGCAGCTTCATTGTATTCAAGATAGCCAATGACTCGAAGAAATCTTGAATAGTATGTCGCAAAGTCACCAGCCCCCTGTTTCAGAGTTTTCAGTTCGCGACGGGCAGTTCCTCGAGGATCCGGATCTCCGAACGAGGCATCTAAATACGACAAGAAGGCTGTGACCGATGAAAATGGTTTCTCTGGGTTTGTGTTTACTAGAGGAACAATTTGATCGAGAGCTTGTCCCTCCAACCGACTAATTGAGTAAATAACTTTGGCAGACTCATCTCGGAATCTGTCATTATTTACCTCGAGCTTCATTCGTAGTTGTGTGATGAAACCGGGCAGTTTACTCCTTGTGCCGTTGAATTTTTCAGGGTCCGGGAATTTCTCGGAGCGAAATGCCGAAGCCGAGTCCCGGGCGGCTGTGGCCGGGCTAGGTTGATTAGAAGTATGACCGGCATTAGCGATATTTAAGTCGAGGTTCAACTTGTTGTTCTGTTCCTCGAGACTTTCAATAACCTGGCGAGCAGCTATGAGCTGACCCTGAGCAGTATCTCGTTCGGTGCGGTATCGATTGAGGTGCCCGTTAATGTATGCGTAAAGCGCGTCCGCATCTGTGGCATATTGCTGTTTGAAGTTTTCGATTGTGGTAGGAGGAGCCCAACCACGAGAGTAGTCTGTAGACATTCTGCACGGTGTGGATAAGGACGCAACGTAATCTCAAGGCGAGGTTAGGACAGTGTTCCACAGGGTGCGTATGTGGTCTAACGAAGATCTAGGTGGTAGATAAAGGTGATGAGTGGGTCGAAGGGATGACTGGTCTTCTCTAGGAAGAGACAAATGGGTAGATAGTAGCGATAGAGGCTACACGTGGGTCTTGCTGATGAAGAGCTGGAAAGAGATAAATGGTCTTCCCGAAGAAGAGATGGGTAAACAAATGTATTGTTAAGGTAATTAAAGAAGACGTTGCGTGAAGAATTATGCTTCTTCACGCCGAGTATTTATATACATAAAATTACCAAATAGCACGTAGCACACAGCCCCTATGCCCAATTATCTGCTACACATAACCTAATGAAACCAGCCCATTCTTATCAGTCTTCCTTGCTGGTTTTAGAAGTGCATTGAACTATTATTTGTGTTTTAACTTAGCCGTTCGCATGGCGTTTCATCCTACGCTATGCCACAAGGATCCATGAAAGCTGTTGAGAAAATAGTTCGCGCTGAAACAATCAATGGGCGTCGCAAAGTCCTGGTATTCTGGAAAGGGTTTGCTGAACCCACATGGGAGCCTCGACAAAATCTTAAGTTAACAGATGCCTACAAAGAATTTGTCAAGCAGTACGGGGATGGCGACAAAGTTGGTCTTCAGTTAGGGATGTTTACAGGTCGAACATTAAGAAATCGAACTATGCGAAAAAGAAAAACAAATAAATGAAACCGGGGGAGGAAAGTAATGTCATAGGACACTAATCACGTGCTACAATGTACGCTTGGACCAGTGAGGAACCCCTTTTATGTGTATATAGTATTGCGTTAGCCACCATGTCTTTCTCTCCTCATAGATTACAATCATATTATTGTTTTGCCTTTTAGTCAGAGTCTTTCCTGACCCTCATGCTATCACACCTTTGACCAACGGGTCAAACAGACAATTCGTAGACTCGATGAGAGTCTACTTACGCGCCACCATTGCGCAATACATGGCCACGGGCCCGGCCATCACGCCACCCGTCCTCCCTCCTCGCCCTGCGAACCCGACCCCAAGGGTTCCAGAAGCCAGGAGCAATACAACTCCCGCCGTCCCAGTGCTGCCTGTTAAAAGCACCTGGGCTACGGTGGCCAGAAACGGACTGCGACAGAAAGCAGTCCCAACTATAAAGGCTGTGCCGAAACCTGCGGCAAAGGCCCCAAAGAAAGATGCCCCGAGGGCGAGAGTCGGCAAACGACTATTCCTTCGCCTAGAAAAGGAGCACCCGTGGCGCCAGCTTTCGCCTGCTGGCCTACGGCAACAACTGCAGAGTGTGCTAAATTGCTTCTTGAGTGACGCCTGCTCTACATACCGTGTTAGAACCGGCTTTGCGATTCTGACAGGGAATGAAAATAAAAGGGAAGAGCTCCTAGATGCTGCACCAAAGTTTTCGGACTTCGGCGCCAAGCTCGAGGAAGCCTCCAACCTTGTCGCCTTTCGGATCGCGAATGTTCCGGCGACCATAAAAACAATCGACTGTACTTATACGGTCAATGCGGATTGGATCTCATTGGAGATCTACCGAAAAACACAAAAGCTTCCATATAAGGTGCTACCGCACGGGACATGCCGTCCTGGAGCGCCGCACAGAAATTGGAAAGCCCTTTTCGACCGGAACAACGCCCCTCGCTCGGGCTTCCGCATTCTCGAAGAGGCTGGTATGGCTACCATTCACAAGCCACGGCCACAAATTGAACAGTGCAAACGCTGTTTGGGCTTCCACGCCACTCGTGGTTGCTCCCGCGCTCCAGCTTGCTGGAACTGCGGATCAAATATGCACTCCGTCACAGAGTGCAAGGCCCTCACACGCTGTCGCAACTGTGGGGGACCTCACCGATCGGATTCTCGGGCCTGCCAAGTCAGACCAAAAAATCCGGACCGGTGACCAAAGAGCAGCTCGCGTGGATTCGCCACATCGAACAAGGGGAGTTCGCGAAGGTTGCACGAGCCAGGGCTGCAGCAAAAAAGGCCGAAGAGGCGATCATCGCCGCGGCGAAGGATGTCTCGATGGCCGAGGCTACAGGTTTCGGAGCTCTGGGATATGAAGAAGTTTGAGGACACAGCAACCTCGACGATGTCCCCTTTTGGGGTATCTACTAACCAATAGCAGGATACCGGCTGGATAAAAGTTGCCTGCTAACTCATCTCTTGCTCTCAGCGGAGATTGAATAAATTTTGTCATTTGGAAGGTGTGACGGACGACGGAATGTGTGAGAAGCACATTGCTTGGGTCCAATGTGAAAGAATCTTCTGGTTTTTTCGGAGTTGCTTTGATTTTCTTGGTTTTTCGTTCTTGTTTAATCAGCTGCACTTTTGGCAGAGATTCACGAGGTTGGAACGAGTTAGGCTGTAGGAAAGATTACAGGGAACCCTGCGGGCTCCACCGGTCCTTGACCCAATGTGGAAAAGATGGCGTTAGGTTAGGACCAAAAGTAAAAAAAAAAAAGCAAACAAACAGTCCTCGAAACTTAACATCACTATCAATTCATCCTCTATTCTAGCAAAAATGGTTCTCGAAAAGTCTGCTTCAGAAACCAAAGTTCGCAAGCATCTAACTCGCGATCAAAGTATTGAAATAAGAGCATTAAGAAGACTTGGCTTGACACTTCAAAATATATCCGACAAACTTGGCTTCACCATAAGGTAAGTACAACTTGCGTGGGCTCGAGAGACTGAGAATCCTATGTCTCGCAAAGGAACCTTACCAAAATTAAGCGCGGAACATGTCGATGAGCTTGAGGCTTTTGTCCGGGAATCTCCTGAAAATCGACAGATGTGCTATTTGGAACTAGCGATGGGACTCTTCAGCCACTAGGAATGCAATGAGCACTAACTTTCAAATGCCCTCAATAAAGTAGGTTACAGCAGATGCATGGCTCGGAAGAAGCCTCCGTTAAGTGAGGTTAATATGGACGAAAGATGTATAGAGGCAATAAAGGAAACTGGAGGGTACACAAAGTATTAGGATGGAGAAGACTAACACAAAACATGTAGTACGCTTTCATTTTAGTTGCGAGCCATACTGAGGGCTTCGATGTAGACTATGGTAATACAGAGCAATAATTTTTGAAATAGATATGCATTTTTAGAGAATATCAATCGATTTTTTTAATTTTGAATTTCAAATGAGGACCATTGTACTTTTCCCATTGAGTTGAAAACCATCTCCATAATTTAGACTTTCATGGAATGTCATTGGATAGTACCCCTTGCTTGCATAACTTTTCGAGTAACGATACACGGGCCTGCATGAAGACCATACCAATTAAGGCAACGTGTACAGGGACTTAATCCCAGTCATTTTGACAATTTTACTTTTGCCATTCATAACAGACTGTATATCTCATAATGTTTCTTTTAAAACCAAAAAATGCTTCTACTTGTACGATGGAAAGCTGTCAGTAACCTATCTCTCAAAACAAATTCGTACATTTTGCACCTCGAAGCGACTGCAGTTCTTATATTCCATCAGTGAGTATTACAATACTTGGCGGTAGTCCTGGCTCTCGACTTCAAAGTAAGTGAGACATGAAACTGTAGCGCTGGACGTCCCATTACGTCTCACCATGAAGCCGAAAATTAAGCAAGCCTACAATTTAAACATGATTCGAGATCGGAGCCTCACAGCTCTGCGACATTGAACCATGAAGCCGAATCAAATGTTGAGTTCACAGCAAAGTACCTCTTGCAAAATGAAGTGAATAGGAACAATACCCACTGATTATGAATAATGTGTGGTGATTGAATAGCTCAAACGTGATTGTGAACACGACCTTGATAACTAGTGGTCTCAAATAAAATTCGAATGCTTCCTACAATTTGACTTCTAGATCCTGCGCCGAGCTCCATCAGCTACCAAAAATGGCAAACCCGAACGATCAGAAAATTCTCAACGCCCCGCTGTACCTCGATACTCCCATTATAACAAATCGAGATTATAGGGTGTAAAAGAAGAAATACACCCCGCCCTACATAGACTATGTGGAGCCTCTTATCTTGAAAATCGACTAGAAATCACTCACGGTTGTTCCGACACCTCTTTCGCGCGCTAATCGTACAATGTCGAGGCCAGATACAAGATCCATAAGACCCATTCCCATGGACTTATACACCACATTTCCACTACTTAACCAACGACTCATCTTATCTTCCAGATCTAATTGACTTGCTTTTTTGGAGCGCACAGAGAGAATGCTGCTAGAGCGAATATTTGGGCCCGTATTCTCAGATGAAGATAATTTGCGGCCCCGCGCGTTGATGTTATCAGAAGATCGACGGGGTCGACAACTACAGATCTTGCTAGGCGGAGGCTTAGAGAGGCTGATGGATGATTTTCTTGAGGGAAGTTTGGAAAGTATATTGCTGCTAGAGATCCCGTTATTGTTGGAAGCCACGTTACTACTGCAACAGCTGTCAAAACTATCTTTCCGATAAGATCGGTTGTTATTCGGAAGAAGCATGCTATTGTCAAGGGTAGATTGAGGTGGTATTACTTGATCATCATAGTCGTTAAGTAGTACTTGGTCCTGGTCCTTATATTCGAGCATCACGAGCTCGCCTAGTTCCATAGTTCGATCCGCTCTGACATTTGTCTCTACCAGCTCTCCCGTCTCTCTGAGGCAGGCCAAAGAATCGACTACTATGACACCACCTTCTTCTGCCCGCCGTTGAAAAGAGTGTGATGCTGTCTGGGGTCTAGTGGCTTGTTCAATGATCTCCGGTGGTAACTCAATCATACTGGGTAGATAGCTCCCAACTGCGATAATGAGACGCGCGCGCTTACGACCCTCATTGTTTGTTAGGAATGCGTGATTGAATAGGGGGGCTGTAGAAGGTGTGGCACAAAATAAAATATCAGCATTTCGGATATATCCCTTAAGAACCTTCTCGCTTTCTCCAAATTTCAGAGATGAAAGGTCAAAGGTTGTATCGTACCAGCCTTCACGCTTTTTTACTTCAGGGTCAAAGTCCATGAAATCTTTCATTATTTGCGAGGCACGACTTGAAAATTCTCTGTTAATGAAATGAACTTTTTTGATGCTAGGCCCGCGCAAGAGAAGTGTCAGACGAATATGCCAGTAGGCCTGACGGCCGCATCCAAAACATGTAAGAACTTTGACCTTTGTGCGCCGTGAAACTAAGAGTGTTGAGGTTAGTGCGGTGCGAAAAGCCGTTAATTCTTTGGAGTTTATAAAAGCATATGGTTTGCCTTCAGCGGTCATAAGAGTTAGTGCACCCTGAGGAGCTGTGTTTTGTGGGAGGCTGTCAGCTGACGAATGGGTCTGCTTCGATGTCGACGTATTGTGGGTGACAACTATGTTGGAGTTAGAAAGCCCATGTACAATTGAATATTTGAATTTAGCACTACCTTTAACCCCCATGTTATTAGTAGTGACAGAGGGCATAAACAAAGATGTTGTGCCATTCTTTGAACCCACTACAGTCCTCGGAGGCTGGTCTTCCATAGAATTGTTGGAAAAAGTGGCGCCAGTCGCATATCCATGGAGAGCATTGCGCATAGAATCCTGAAAGCTGTGGACATCATCGACCGTAAGGCTGTTGAGTAGGTATTTGACCTGATTGTCAGTGAGGATTGTCAGGGACATTTTCGTAAAGAAGGTAATGGGATTGGCACCTCGACGTCCAACAGCACGAAATTCCGAGCATAGTTGAAGGGCTATATACTTTCCAAAACTTCTTTGCTGTGAGACCCATGATCGATCGAGAGTTAACAATTAATAGACACGAGTGATTTGGAGACAATGAAACCTCTTGGCGAAGATGTAGCAGCGAGTCAGCTGGCATGAGTGAGTGCCACATTCAAAACTAGAGTGGGGCAACGACGATCATTGGAATTAATTATACTCTTGATCAACGTATTCTCGAAAAATTATCCCAAGAATATCATCCATGTACTGCAGTATCATTGGCTGAATCAAGCAGATTATGGATCAGTCTTGAACAGGCTACTGCGTACCGTTGATCTCCCGAGTCATCTGATGGAATGCTTGCTTGGCATCTTGTCTCTGTCGCGGGCTGGGATGAAGTCAATGGCATGCCTCTGAATAGGCTAGCTGAAGAAGTGAGAGAGCTTTGGAAAGAAGCTGTAGACCACTGAAAATTATTGTCGCAAGCATACCCACAGGCTCCCATTTAAAGCTTTTACAGTATGTTGTGTAGGGTTGCGTAGGCACAAAGTAAGCGAAATGCTTTGAGGATTTCTTCGCACTGTGGGCAGCAACTTTCATGCTTTGTCAAATGTTTCGGGCTTCAAATTGAAATAATGTGTTTGTACATGTCATGTTAAAACATTGAAGAATAGCGGGAGATGATGATTCAACGCTAGTCAGCGGTATCTTCTACGAAAACCTTTATCTCAGCACAGCATATGCAGTGCTAACATTAAGCGAACATTAGATAGAAATATTTTTGTTGTATATCGGTTTGCGACACTATCAATTACCGAGACGATAAAAGTTGAAGGAGTCGTGGGCCTCCGACAACTGAGGCAGTATGCTTTGGCTTCCTTTTTCCATTTGGATTTTAGATAAGACGGGCATAGGCCCGTTTTTAGATAGACGTTAAATATAAAACAAACAAATAAGCCGAGACGATAAAAAAGAATAGACAGGGCTAATGTCGGCGTGTGCTCAAACTTACGTCATTGATATTTCTACATGACCTCTACTTTGTCAAGAGACGATAGTGGTGGATGGTATGAAAAAGTGATATGTAAGGCAGAGTGACTTCCTCGGATACACTTTAGCCTGCAGTGCCGGGCTGGTCAGACTGTCGGAACGCTTCACAAGAGCAGATATACCTTCGGATTTCATCCTGATATCGGTATTGGGAGACTCCCATGCCCATTGTTTTTTGCGATTTTTCAACAGTAGTATTACACCTGCAAATGGCACTCATTCTATTGATTAGAAGGCAGACATCATGGCGGGTAAAAGGCTAATTCGAGCGCAAGATTGAATGAAGACTTGTGAAAAGTGGACTATAGGGAAGGAAGAAGAGAAAATGTACGACGCGATGAACAGGTAGCCTTGACCTGTAGGCGAGGATGACTGTCATGTCTAATAATAAATGAAACGAGAAAATATTGATCCCTCTTTTTAAAATTAAATTATTTTGTAGATTTTTCGTTTACTTGTCTCAGTTTTTGACGTCGTGCCAGCGCATGTTAGGAGATAGAAGGTCGAAGAGTAGGACTGGATACCTGTCCGCGGTATCCTTTGTGAAACTGAGAGTAAAATGATTTCTTAGATCTAAGTTCAGTCAAACTTCGCAATGCCGAAGAAGTTGGACTTAAAAAAATGATTCAGGACGTCCAACCATATTAATCCTTGATTCCCAACGAAATTGATTCCTCCAAAGCCTCATCAAATTTTCAATTGCGGCCTAGCACATCACCATTTCAATAACCATACCTCTCTTCAACTAAGTTTCTGCCCTTAGATGGCCTCCAAAATATACGCACACGCCCATATCCTTGATTGAAAGGGGAAACAATTCCATGCACACAGATATTGTGTGCAGACATTTGGATTGGAAGTGAGAGGTTTCAGGAGAAGTTGACACAGCGACGCTGTAGATGTGTCCAATCTCAACGTGTGTGAGATGTAGAATACTGGTTAGGAGTTTTACAAATTGAGTGCTATTGTGCACGACAAGCCTACGATAGCGAGATTACTGGCACCGGAATGAATATTGTGTTGGCTGGATGGTGCATTGGTATGTAATCATGTCTGGGTTCTCAAGTAGAGCCTTGTTATATTGGACAGATTCCCCACCTCAGGCAGGAGATCGCTAGTTCAAATCCAACGATACTTGACCGTATTTATCACCATGATGCCATGTGTTGATGATGAAAGGATACTAGGATAGCTATAGGTTTACAAAATCCCCATTTTTTCATTATAAATAATCAATTGATTGTTTTGTATATTCATATAATTGATAGTGTTCGGAGTACTGGCGTATCTGCTTAGGTAGACAGTATGGATTTGATTACTAAGACTCAATATGTATTACTAGCTCTCGTTTGATAAAACATAGAATCAAGTTTGTATGTATATACATATTACCGACACGTAAGTGAAGTCACACCTTTATTTATACCTACAGAGAGGCGTCTGTGCAGTGTTTATGGATATGAATTTAGATGGCATTTTCGGATAAAAACTAGAGTATGAGTGTCTCTTAATTCCAAAGAGTCAATCATTGTGTACAAGTAGCACAGATAAGTGTATTTAACTCTATAAACACAAGCAAACGATGAGCGGTATCGTGGTCCGCCTCCAAGTTGCGTTCTCTGGTATAATTTGAGTAGTCTGGGCACTTACTCCACTTGGGAAGGAGATAACTAAACCATATTTTGCGCGGAGGAAAGAGAATGGATAACGGAGGCATTTCTAGATAACTCAGGGTTTTTGTGACGTTCCCCTGGGTGGGTATTCACGTTTGAGAGCTGACTTGGGGTAAGAAAAAGCCGCCATAGCTTCACAGTGGTACTTGCAAATAAAATCCAAGGCTTGAGTGTTATGTTTTTAAATTGAGTCATCTTTTCTGTATTTTTTCTTTGATATTGCATCATGGCTATATGGCCGCAAATTTAATAAAGAATTTGGAGAAAAAAGTACTTAACCCTGACTTGTAATACGGCATCGCCAGCACCGCAACCACGGATATTTCAAAAGCTGAGGACTGATGCTTTCGTTTATTCAGATTACCTATCAAATTAAACTTTAATTGATCGTTTCGTAAAGATAATTGCATTGTCATCACAAAAATGATGCCTTAAGATACCCTACGTCTTCCGCACAGAGCCCTTGCCGTGTTTGGAAGCGAGTTGTCAAGCAGAGCTTGCTACTTGATCTATTCATCGTAACGTGCACCAGTGATAATTAGAGGCAAACTTACACAACTTTCACAGCTGAAACACGCTAAGAATGCCATTTAGAATTGTGTTATTCACCTCTATAAAGTCTACCAGTGTGCATTACAATCTTTCAACAGGAAAACAAATATGCGGATAGAGTGAATGAACTTGGCCATCGAGTCATTCAAATCAGGGATTCTCACAGACATACTACAAACAGAAACGTTGACCAACTTCTATTCCGGAGATATTGGTAGAAATTTGCTTACAATTGAGCTGGTTCCTAATGCCCCACCCAGCTATTTTAGACTTTGACTAATGGTGGCGGGCTTATTGTATCTTCCTCCGCAGGTTTTCTTGGAAAAGTTTACGCCATCTTCCTCAGAGTAAAAGTGGCAATAACGAAGTGATTAATCTGAGACTACTTTAGAAATTATTTCAATCATGGTACTTCAATTATACATCTTCCTAATCTTCTTTTTCTCAAGAGTTTAATTCAGCAAGCTCAAGTTATCATCCTACGATCAACAACTACCAATGTGCCACTAAAGTCGTCTCTTTATTTCGATAGCTATGGGTAAAGATTTGAACCACAAAAACTCAAGTCAACCCCTAGTAGGATTGTCGGAAAATTTGACCCACGGTACCGAGTACCATTGTGACTGGAAAACAGCTCTCGAAGTCGACGAATTTGATGATATAACTGAATATCACAAGGCTCGTAGGCAGCTTGAACTGGCTGTGAAGTCAAAGGCATTCGATACAGATACTATCCTTCACTCTTCAAAGATTGAAAAAGAGGCAGCTAGACTTCTCAAGAAAATTATAGCATACGATGAGGAGCAGACTTATGGTAAAAATAAAGATGAGACCGGTCAAAAAACTGATAGGAGTCCGGGCGAACATTTTCTAGGGAATTTAAATCTCATTAATAAGACGGAACTAATTAAAGTTGCTAGAAAAATGCCTAAAGGTGCACACCTACACGTTCATTTCAATTCTTGTCTCCCAGCACGATTTTTGCTACATCTTGCTAGAGACATAGACGCTATGTACATCAGAAGTACACTTCCTCTGATTAACTCAGAAAATATGGCACAAGCTAGAATATCTTTCATGGTCATGACCAAACATGAAGCCACCCACACCTGGGACCACAAGGGCAACGAAATATATGTACCCACTGAAAACATATGGGATGAAAAGTACACTCAAAATAGATGGATGCCATATAAACAATTTCGAATTCAATTTAACGGACATGATTGTAAAATTTCCAGAACTCAAACAGACTTGGATCGTACAATAGCTGCCGAGCTTTGGCTCGAGAAAAAATTGCAATTTTCAGAGGATGAAGCGCATAATTCAAGGCAGACTGGTCACGGGTATTTGGCCCTCTGCGGACGTAGAGATAGGCTAAAATTAAGTATTTAGGGTGTGGGAAATTTTCAATTCTCGAACTCAGATGATAAAAGGTCTCTTCAGCTATGAATCTGCATTCCGGCTTTATACCCAAGCCTGTATTCGTAACTTTGTTGAAGATAATATTCAGTACGCTGAAGTTCGTCCAAATTTTATGAGAAGTAATTCTCTGAAGAAAGATAATGGGTCAGGCTTCATTGGAAACGAAGGGATTCTTGAGATTATTGACGAAGAGCTAAAGAAAACAATGGCTCAGATCAAACAGGAGAGAAAATACTTCGCGGGAATGAAAGTGATTTACTGTACTCCCCGCTCATTTCAAAGAGATCAGGTGGCATTTGCCTTGAACGATTGCATTGACTTAAAATGCAAGTACAGGAACCTAATATGTGGTATGTTTAAACACCCTGACGAATTTAGGGCTTATTAAACTCCATAGGATTTGATCTCGTAGGCCACGAGGAAAAAGGCAACGAACTTCGTCTATTTGTTCCAGAGTTTCTAAAATTTCGCCAAGAATGCAAGAAAAGAAATGTAGATATTCCGTTTTTATTTCACTGTGGTGAGACATTGCAAGTCGGTGGTAAATATGATGGGAATCTATATGATGCTATTTTGCTAAAATCCAAACGAATTGGTCACGGTTATGCAATTGCAAGACACCCAGTCTTAATGGATATTATTAGGGAAAAAAATATTGCAATTGAATCGTGCCCAATTTCAAATGAAATCCTTGGACTAACGCCGGTTATTTCAGCGCATCATCTGCCAATATTACTGGCAAACAATGTACCTTGTACCATAAACAGCGACAATGCTACCTTCTACAGGCCGGTCACATATCCTCTCAATCATATTTTTGCCCTAACTTTAGCTTAGATCATCTTTGTCACACGACTTTTATCAAGTAATGATCGGCTCTGAATCCATGAGTCTTCAAGGTTGGAAAAAGCTCGCTAAATGGAGCCTAGAGCATAGCTGTTTAGATCCCGAAGAACTAAAAATTGTTATGAAAGAATGGTCAAAAAGATGGGATGAGTTTTGCCAATGGATTATTGACGAGTATGGGCCTCGATTAAGCAGTTGGGAGCCGAAACAAGACCATTAGCTCATATACATGGCAAGTTGACAAGATTTATTTCGCCACATGTTTAATCTATCTATGTCTTTTATGTGTTTATAATTATGTAGGGTAACCTATTTCATTATAGGCTCCTGGAATAAACGCATTGGCAAGAGCTATTACCACAGAAAAGATAGAGAAATTCACACAAATAAAAAGCAATAATAATGATGCACTATATTATGATAACGTAGCTGCATTAGATACAGGCATGATACTGTGGAATAACCTGATTCTTTGAATTTATTGCATTCAAATCCTAGTTTAAGTAGAAGCAATATCTTCTGCCTAGCATCAATTAGATTTGTATCCTTGACCTTTTTTTAAGCTAGCTTTGATGTAATCTCATTATCTAGGATTCGTCTCTTAGACTCGGCTTATAGTATGGTAGTGTATTCCTGATAATAATTGATTCAGTGCTGAGAACATTTAGATTTTTCTGAGACAATCCAGTTGCTTTAGTGTTAGTCTATTTTGTAGGGCAATACTTTTTCTTACTTTTAATATCAAGTAAGAGAGCATTTTTCACTGAGGAGCTTTTAAATGTTACCAATATCAGCTAGACGATGTGTTTTCACCGAAAGATTGATCTATTCGAGTTCTGGTAAGAATTTAGCATCTGAGGGGAGCAGTAGAAAGGCATCTGATTATCCTAGAAGACCTTAAATGCTTTTTTAATTCTTTACTAAATAGGAATGACGAAATGATGTCTCCTCTTAATAGTTGATACAGAAGTATTTTCTAGGCTCCACAAAACCCTGGATGGTTTGAGAGGCTACGTCATGCCTATTACTCACTGTTATCAAGGCATTAATGACTTGAAGTTTACTGTGCTTTAAGTCTCATTTTAATGCTTGACTCCTCGGTCACGGCTCTATGAATATGAAATATTCTTTAACGTTGGACTCCATACTGCGCCAGAGATCTAACCGAACAAGTCTAAGTTTTGAACTTATTTTACTTCTTGGCTGAAACACTATCTGACACGGGGGGGCCTATTCTCAACACCTGTCGGTGGTGTCCCCTACGAACCTCCTGCTCTCTGTAGAGTCTGCAGAGCCGAGATTGAGTAACAAATTCCTCACTTCGACGAGGATTCCTAATCGCTTTCGCGGTCTGTATCGTCTTCATCTCTCAACACATTCCCCTATCACCACTTTCATGAAGCTAACCACGATCAGATCAGATGGTAGGGTCGGAGCCCTTCTAATCACCAACCCTTGATCATGGAGGAAATGCCATCCACTGAGTTTCCGGAGCGTACCCAGCACACGACACGGAGATAGCGGATTGGATCAAGTCGGCCTCGACTGTTACAAAGAAGGGAGATTTAGATGAATATGCGCACCTTATGTGGTCCCGGTGTCTAGGCCTCGCCTGGCTGGGGCTGCCATTTTTTGAGACTTTTTCCCGCGCACGCAGTTTCCATTGCTACCATCCTTATTTTTTTTGAGTAGAAGGTCCTGTGGAAAAGCTGGCTGAATTCCACGGGTAAATACTGAGCTGAATGGCTATTTATCAAGGGGAATATATCAATGATCTTTCAAGTAACAAAAGAGGATAGGAGCAATGTACATTGTGTGGCCTGGGCCAGAGAGGAACCCAATGTGCTAGATAATCATAGACTCAAGTAGTACAATAAAACACACACACACACACAATTTTTTTTTTTTTTTTTGAAAAGGCAGGGATACCTGTGACTCGGAGGTGATGAACGAAAGCCTAGGTGATCTGGCATGGAAGTAGGGATAGGAATCGAGGCTCGGGCGCGTGGTGGCCGAGGCGGAACGATGGAAGGGAGATTGTCAAAGTTTTTTCTTTTGTAATGCAGGACTTTGCGTGGAAGTTTTCTTTTGTTTTGTTTTCAACTCTGGGCTGCTGTACTCGTCATGCTTCAACACATAGATGCGTTTCGGCATGGTTCCGGTCATTGAGGTGGGACGAGGCATTTGTACTACACGGTAGTTAACCTGATCCGGCCCGACCCCATTCGTGCTCAAGCTCCAGTTGGAGTGCGACGGTAGTTACTTCACCTAGCACGTTAATGAACAAACAAACGCACCATTCGAGAAATTCGAAAATTCGAAAATTCTCTATTTCACTTTTTCCATTCCTATGACCACTTCTGTGCTTGACTTCTCAAATTGTTAACCGTCACGAGGTATTTAAAATGCCTCCGGTGAGAAAAAATCGCCCAAAGCCGACAACTTCAGCCGGCTTTGAACGGACACCATTGTGTCCAAAACCTACTGGCCTCGCGCAAAAATTATCAAGCCTATTTGCGAGTGAGGCCTTTGTCCCAGGGAAGTCCACAAATCTTCCCGATCAAGAGATGACTGATTCTGAACCGATCAGAGCAGAAAACAATGGTCCCAAGACCAAAACCCCCGTCGAACTGCCCCCTTTGGCAAGCAGCTCCAGGAAAGGAAAGGAAGTTGTTCGAGAAAAGACAACCGAACGTGCAGAATCATCTGCAGGAAACAATGCTGTGCCAGCCTCTAAAGGCGTAGCATCTACATCAGCAATGGAATTTCCACCAGAGCTGCAAACCGTGATGGAGGCCGAAAAGCGACGTACGACGCAAATTACGGCCCGCCTCGCCATCTGCTCGACTGCAATAAACAGTGTTGAAGCAGCACTTTCGCCTCTTTCGATCGGCGAAAATAAAGAATTTGTAGACGGTATAAAAGTCTATCTTCGAGCAGCCATCGGCCAGTTCGTACAATCTGGCCCAGGGAGCACACTACCAGCTCTCCCTGCTCGCCCCGCCAACCCTCTTCCGCCGAGGGCACCAGAAATAAGGGTTCCTAACCCTCTAACAACCCAGGCTCCGGCCCCAAAGACAACTTGGGCCACCGTAGCTCGGGTAGGCCTAGCCCGCAGCGCTGGGCCATTGACAAAAAAGGCAGCACCACCCGCCCCAAAGGCAAAGAGTGCCAACTCGAGGTCAAAAGCCGATTCACGACTTTTTCTGCGCCTTGACTATTTCCATCCCCACCGTCTCCTTTCTCCAGCTGGAGTAAGGCTAGCGGTGTCTCAGGCGCTGGGAACCGCTGCCAACAATATCACGTTGGTTCAGCTGGTAAAGACCGGCTTTGCAATAACCGCAAAGGATGAACTCGCTCGAACAGAGCTCCTAGATTCCTCCACATCACGGAGCGAATCTGGAATCAAACTGGAACCAGCATCAAATCTGGTTGCCATGCAAATTGCCACCGTCCCGGAGACAATTCGAACTCTTGCTGGCCCAATCGCCGTGACGGCAAAGATGGTTGCCGACGAAGTCACGCGAGTGACCCAGTTGGTTCCCTTTCTGGTTCGTCCTCATGGGACTAGCAAACCAGGGGCGTCCTACTCAAATTGGCAAGCGCTATTTCCCCGAGAATCCGCTCCTCGACCTGGATTCCGCCTTTTCGACGACTCTGGAGCTGCAAAGCTCTTCCGACCTCGTCGCAAAATCGAACAATGCAAACGGTGTCTTGAATTTCACGCCACCCGTGGTTGTTCCCGCGCTCCAGCTTGCTGGAATTGCGGATCTAATATGCACTCAGAATCAGAGTGCAAGGCCCTCACCCGGTGTCGAAACTGTGGGGGACCTCACCGATCGGATTCCCGAGCCTGCTTAGCCAGACCCAGCAAGTCCGGACCGGTGACAAAAGAGCAGCTCGCGCGGATCCGCCAGATCCAGCAAGGGGAGTTCGCGAAAGTGGCTCGATTTAGGGCTGCAGCCAAAAGGGCCGAAGAGGCAACGATGGCCTCAACGAAGGATGTCTCGATGGCCGAGGGATCGGGGTTCGGAATCCTGGAATCCGAAGAAGAAGTTTGAGGGTACAGCAACCCTCGGTGAAGTCTACAAAAAGCTTCAATATATATAGCAGGATACCAGCTGAATTCAGGGTATCTGCGAACTAGTCTTTCGCTCTCAGCGGAGATAAGAAAAAGTCATCTGGAAGATGTGGCAGGAAAGGGAACGGGCGAGAAGCGCGGGATCCGGACCAAACAGTATTTCTTCCAAATTTGATTTCAGTTTTTGATTTATGTTTTTGATTTTAGTTTTGCTGTTAACTTCTACAATTTCAGCAGAAGTTCATGCGGTTGGAATGAGTTGGGCCTGTACGCAGTGATCCTTGCCGGCTCCACCGGTCCTTGACCCAATGTGGAAAAGATAGCGTTAGCTTAGGACCAAATGTAAAAAAAAAAAAAAAAAACAAACAATTTTTTGAAATTCGAATTTTCGAATATCCCCTTTTACCCCCTCTCTATTCCTCTCGCGCTCGTCGCATCCCTTCAATAAATTGTAATCGAGTCACTGGCATTTTCGTCATGCCACCTGTTCGAAAAAAGCTCCCCAACTCAATGTTGGACAACGCGAGAGTCCGCCCGAGGGCTCCTGCAAAAACACCTGGCCTCGCGCAAAAATTATCAAGCTTGTTTGCGAGTGAGGCCTTTATCCCTGGGAAGTCTCCAAACCTTCCCGATCAAGAGATGACTGATTCTGACCCGATCAGAACAGAAATAAATGGTCAACAGACCACGAAACCCGCCGAGCTGGCCCCCGAGGCAAGCAGTTCCAAGAAAGGAAAGGAGGTCGTCAGAGAAAAGACGACCGAAGGTGCAGAATTGCCTGCCGGAAAAAATGCTGTGCCAGCCTCAAAAAGCGCAGCTTCGACATCAGCACCGGAATATCCACCGGAGCTGCAATCAGTGATGGAGGCCGAGAAGCGTCGCACGACGCAAATCAAGGCCCGTTTATCAATCTGTTCCACTGCAATAAGCAGTGTTGAAGCAGCACTTTCGCCTCTCTCGATTGGCGACGAAAAAGAGTTTGTAGACGGCATCAAAGTCTACCTTCAAGCGGCCATTGGCCAGTTCATACAATCAGGCCCAGGGAGCACTCCACCAGCTCTCCCTGCGCGCCCCAGCAACCCTCCTCCGCCGAGGGCTCATGAAATTAGGGTACCTAACCCTACGACAACCCAGGCTCCGGCCCAAAAGACAACTTGGGCCACAGTAGCCCGTGCAGGTCTAGGCTGCAGCGCCGGGCCGTCGACTACAAAGGCAGCACCGCCCGCCCCAAAAGCAAAAAGTGCCAATCCGAGGACAAAAGTCGACGCGAGACTTTTTCTACGCCTCAAAGCTAACCACCCCCACCGACTCCTGTCACCAGCTGGCGTAAGATTAGCTGTGTCACAGGTGCTTGGTACCGTTGCCGACGACATAACGTTGGTTCAGTGGGTCAAAACAGGCTTTGCACTGACAGCAAAGAATGAGCTCGCTCGGAAAGAGCTGCTAGATTCCTCCATGTCACGGAGCGAATCTGGAATCAAACTGGAACCAGCGTCAAATCTGGTTGCCTTGCAAATTGCCACCGTACCGGTGACAATAAATACACTTGCAGGTCCCATCGAGATCACGGTAAAGATGGTTGCTGACGAAGTCACGCGAGTGACGAAATCGGTTCCGTTTCTTGTCCGTCCGCACGGATACTGCAAGCCTGGGGCGCCATACGAGAACTGGCAAGCCCTCTTTCCTCGCGAGTCCACGCCCCGACCTGAATTCCGCCTCTTCGACGATTCTGGAGCTGCGAAGCTCTTCCGACCTCGTCACCAACTTGAACAGTGCAAACGTTGTCTTGGCTATCACGCCAGCCGCGGATGCTCTCGCGCTCCAGCTTGCTGGAACTGCGGCTCAAAGATGCACTCGGAAGTGGAGTGCAAGGCCCTCACACGATGTCGCAATTGTGGGGGACCTCACCGATCGGACTCTCGGCACTGCCAAGCCAGACCCAAAAAAGATGGACCGGTGACCAAGGAACAGCTCGCAGCAATTCGCAGAGCCGAGCAAGAAAGATATGCAGACTTTGCCCGTGTCAAAGCTGCATACAAAAAGGACGAAGAGGCGAGGAACGCCTCTGCGAAGGACGTCTCCATGGCGGAGGGATCGGGTTTCGGAATTCTAGAAACCGAAGAAGAAGTTTGAGGACTCGGCTGTCCTTGGTGAAGTCTACAACAACTTTCACAACAAAAAGCAGGAAACCAGCCGATAGCAAAGGTTACCTGAGAGCTCATCTTTTGCTCTCAGCGGAGATTAGGAAAAGTCACTTGGAAGATGTGGCAGGGAAGGAAACGGGCGAGAAGCGCGGGATCTGGACCACACATGAAATTCTTCTAAATTTTTTTTTCAGTTTTTTTCAGTTTATTTCAGTTTATTTCAGTTTTTTGTTTGATTTAAGCTTTGATTTTAGTTTTGATTTAAGTTATGTTGTTAACTTCATCTACTTTTGTTGAGGTTCCTGCGGTTGGAATGAGTTGGGCCTGTACGCAGAGAACCCCACCGGCTCCACCAGTCTTGAACCGATAGTGGACTTAGATCTTTAGCTTAGGACTTTAAAATAAAAAACAAAACTATCTGACACGTTTAGCTCCTGAATGGTCCGAAATACACCTTGTATAGTCATCATATCCTCTATTGCTTTGTAGGAAAATTCTGATATTTCCCATGACGGGTAGTAATTTAGCTCAGTATTCACCCCTGGAATTCAGCATTCTTTTCTGTGGAATCAATTAAATTAGTTCCGAAGATTGTTAGAATGACATAAGAAGTATTAAAATGAGTTAGAGTTATGACGAATGTGCCTACTATAGAATGAAGTTTACTGATATTTAATGGATAGCTAATTCCGGCAAAGATGAATTCTTCACCTTCCAGTGATGCCGATGTAACCGCTCAGTATGCTATACTTATCTGGGATAGCCAAGAAGAATCGCATCGGAATTCAACTCGAAAGCAAACACATCTATAATTGGCGACTTCTCACTAATGTCGGTCGTGTCATCCTCACGCGAGTCCTTTATCTTGGCCACTCTACAATCCACCTCGACTCAACGACCGATAAAGGCATTACTCCGATTGTAAACGAGGGCTTGCCCCAATCGTTACCGAGCATGGCCCACTCCAAATTTACGACGCTACGTTTACCCGCAAGGAGGAAATCAAGTCGAAAAATACAAAATTAGAGTCATGGTTTATGGGGCACTGATATTATTATTGTTAATTCATTTTATTGTCCTGTCTTAGTCTATGACTATGTAGGACATGCAGGTCCTCTCTGCCTACAGGCCAAGGATACCTATACTATGGGGCACTGTTGCTCTAATGGGACAACCCACTTCAGGGAGAACAGGCGGTCGGGATGTGGAGCGAGAGAGGGAAGAGGTGTTTCAAAATTATGCTGGAACCGATATTTTCATGGGGTTTTCAACTTTGGATATTTTGTGGGCACCAAGACCAAAATTTCGGCTAACTAGCCAGGACTTCAATTGTCGATGAGACAACGGCACTTCCAAGTCTTCTGGACGGCACAAAAGACGTTGGGTTAAGTGACCACGCAGCAATCATGCTCTATCGAGACTTTTCTGACATTTCAGCACGGTCTTCGGGAAAGAGTTGGAAGGGGGCTAGAAAGGCAGAGTGTGAATTCTCAGAGGTACTCACAATTCTGCAGCGCCTAGCTGGCCGGCCCCTTCAGGGCTTCAGAAGGGGCACTGTGTCTTCGTATTTAGTCCTAATGTCGGTATTAGGAGAGCTTCGCACCAAGTGGTTTTTGCCATTTTCCGCGACTACCATTTACCCTCAAATGGACATCCTCTCGTTGGCTGGAGAGGGGAGATTATGAAGGGAAAAGGGCTCCTCCTGTTGAAGCTTTGTCCTTGAGGGATGGAGTTAATGTAGAGGTTTATGGATCACAATTTATGAAATAACTGAGATGTAGATGTTTGAGTTCCTTACAATTGTTATTGTACTAGTTAGGATTGTTTTTCACTACATACAGAAGGGATTTTTCGGAGGGCAAGACTGAACACCTGTTCGAGGTGTCCTCTACGAACCTAGGAGTGAAATATTCTCCCAGACCCAAGTTCAGTCAAACTTCGCAATACAGAACAAGTTGGTCCATATAGCAATGATTCAAACTACTCCACCATGTCAATTTTTCAATCCCAATGAGATCGAAACCCACCTACGCCTCATCAAGTCTACAAGTGCGACCTAGTACATCCTCATCCCTGTGACCACACCTCTCTCCGACCTTCTCTGGCCTCAGCTGGTCGCCAGATACACGCCCATGCCGATAATTACTCTCTACAGAGGAAACAAAGCGTGGCTCATAAATCTGGGAGAAAGTTCTTCGGGATGGACGTGAGACGATTCAGGACAAGTTAACAAGATGATGCAAGGGAAGGATACAACTTCGATGGGCGTGAATTGTGGAATTTTGTCATGAGTTTTATGAATTGAGCTTTGTATACGCCAGACTTCGCTTGCGAGAGTGCAGCTGATACTATAGACATAAGTCATGTGTATGTGGTGTTCTCTGGTATAGTTTGAGTAGCCTGGGCACCTATTCCATTGGGGAAGGAGACACCTAAAACCCCGTTTCGCGCCGAGTTGAATAAATGGATAATTCGGGGATTTTGAGATATTCCCCTGAGTGGGTATTCACGGATGAGGGTTGACTTGGGGTGAAGAAAAAGCCGCCATAACTTCGCAGTAGTACTTGCGAATCAAATCCGAGGCAGGAGTGCTCTTCCTTTAAGTTGAGTCATCTTTTACTTACTTTTCTTTGATATTGTGTCATAGCTAGATATTTGCGCACGCAATTAAAATCTGATTCAAAAAAAATGAAACAAATCTCGAGTCGCATGCATGACACGCCAATTGTACGCGCCCTCTTTCTCCCGCAGAGGATAAATACCTGTGATAACATAGTTATCTACAGCGCCATTGGTCTAAGAAGGCTCGATTTCAGATCTGTGATTCATTCTCCTGCGTAACCATGTCTCGTAGATTTGTGAGCTCACACAGAGCGTTACAGATGCAACACTGGTAGGCTGTGACGGGCTTTGCTGGGATTAGGACTGGTCACTAGAACCACTCCATCTTCGAGTTGAGGCTATGGTAGAGCAACGCTCACGAAAATGTGAGTGGGCCGCTAGGGAGGTATCAAGGGTTGCACGTGCCAGATGGGAAGTCTAGTAAAGGAGAATAGATGAGGCGGGGAGAAAGGATGACTCTGAGGTGACCAATAGAGGGAGTTAAGACTAGTCTACACAGATCATATAAGGGATGGGAGAGTACGTGGTAGATTGTCTACCAAAGGAAGAAGTTATTCCTTCCTATCGGGTTATTGGCTTTCAAGCACATCTGAATTCATGAAACCCTTACATAGGCGGAGAATGTAATTATTGCCGGCTCGTGAGTCATTGTATCGCGAGCCTACTCGTTTGGATTAGATTTATGTGATTATCCCCACTGAGTCTAAGGCCGGGGAGGACTTCGTGAATTCAACTTCAAATTCTAATCACACTACATAAATTTGGAGTCTGAAATATGCCAATGTTAATTCTCTTAAATTTGAGGGTCAAACCCTAAAAGATAGGCAGCCGAACTGTTTAGCATTGCGAGCTTCGTCTGAACCCGAATTCTAGAAAGGGTTGGAAAGGCTTTTTTCGCTCAAAAGGCCTCTGAAACACATCATGTCTTGGTTCAGCCGTGCCGGTGGGTGCAAAACTACTCAAGTCGAAATATTCCCTGAATGTGATACTTTTCATTTCCCGTCCACCCGATGCGCTGCCATGTCGGAGTACCGTTGCGCAAGTATTCAATTTCCATCAATTGGCTGGGTTTAGGCTCCTGAGGCCTAAATTTGAATGCGTCGTCTAACTCACAAACCGCTACAAATGAAACGTTTGAACATCCAATAGATTCTGCGGGCGGAGCGATCAGCCAAAGCTGAAATTCAGGACCCGCATGACTCGAGGATTTGAAGAATGTTTGGGTTGGTACAGTTGGTTGGATTATTGGTCAAGAGGCTGAACTCAGAAGTATATAGATGAGCGACATCAGACATGAAGTTGGAAATCACCAGCAACCCACATCGGCGACAATCGCCAACCCAAAGACATTTTCCACCACTCGTTTCCACCACTCGTTCTTTGAAAGCAAAATGCAACGCATCCATTCGTTCCTGATTCTTGCACTCTTTTTCATCGTTTTCGCTGCAGCTGAGAATGTAGAATACAAGTGTTCAACAAAGGTAACATTTGACGGAGATAAAATGCAGAAAAAGTTGAAACAGATGACTAGTTATTACCAAGCTACTAGTATCCGATGTAAACGTCACAGGCCTTGCATCAGAAAAAAACTTCTTAAACTCAAATGGCATTTAGTAAAATGGAAAAGGGCTTTGTATATACCATTACCCGAAGGTACTTTTGATCTAAGTGTAGAGATGAAGCCTTTGGAAGATGAGAGTAACAAGACTCCCAGAAGACGTATGTATATTCACTGGGCTAGCGAACGGTGCGTGCAAGTTGCTAACACGACGATTGTACAGATCGCAACATATATCAAATTGTAGCCAGGTGCAGCAAAGGCACTATTTGTGATATAATGCACGTGACCGAAAAACCCCGGGGAAATACGGCCCAAGAAACCATCTGTTCAAAAATTTGAATTGAACATAAATAAGATCACCACTTCATGCATGACTTCAAATGGCGTCAGAGGTTCTCTATAAACTGTATCTTTTTTGTTAATTGGAAACCCATATTCGGAAGCATTCCAGTGGCGTGTTTCTGCTTAGGGGGGCGGGAGGGGCGATGTCAATGTGATGGAGAGTCTGGTGGACCAAGGTTAGGTTTAACTAACTGAACCTGACACATCCTACATGTAGTGCGCGCTTCACTCTACTTGTACATGACAAGCGAGACCTTATGAAATCCAGAATATGAGTGTCTTTAACGGCAAAAGGGTCATCCTATAAGTATATACAGCACCGGTCATGTGTCATAGCTAGAAAGCTGAATGCAAATTAAAGGATATCAAGGAAAAAAGTAGACGAAACTCATCACCTGTCAGTGAAGTCTCCTACAAACCTCCAGTCCTCACCGAAGGGTCTGCAGAGCCGGGATTTAGTAACACATTCGTCCACACTTCGACGAAGATTACCAATCGCTCTCGCAGTCTTTAAGGTCTTCGTATCTCAGCACAGTCCACTTGTACCATTGTCATGAAGGTAACCGCCATCAGACCAGATGGTAGGGTTGAAGCCCTTCTCATCAAACGTTGATCATGGAGGAAAAGCCATGCCATGGGTTTCGGAAGTGTACCCAGCACTAGAGCCGGCGATTATTGACTGGATCAAGTCGGTCTCTAATGTCGCCTAGGAGCGAGATATGGATGAATCTGCACCCAGTGTGGCCCAGTTATCAAGACCTCGCATGGCTGGGCCTGCAGCTTTTACGAGAAATAATCTCCCGCCGGCAGCTACTAACGCTACATTTTTTATTTTCTTTTGGGGTAGAAGTTTCCGAAAAAGGCGGCGGAGTCCTACGGGTAATACTGGGCTGGATAGCTGTTCATCGCTAGTAATATATCACTGGTATTTCTATCCAACATGAGGGGATAGGCGTGTTGAAAGGTGGTGATGTATATGGTCGCATGGTCGTTTGCACTTGGTATCTTCAACTGAATGGTTGTGACTACTCAGGGGGCTTAGAATATACTTGGGTGATTATGGCAATTAACGTTACGGGATGCAAATGTTATCTTATTGTTTTTGTTTGTTTGTTCATTTACGTGCTAGGTATAGTGATTCCCGTTGCACTCCTACTGGAGCTTAAGCACGGGTGGGGCCGGGCTGGATCAGGTTAACTACCATCAAGTACATCTACCTCGTCCCACCTCGGCTTCACCCATGTGTTGAATCATGTCAAGCCCAACCGTCTAGAGAACCCCATTTTGACGCGCCAAAGCGCAATTTCCGCCTCATCCTCGGTTACCACGCGCCAGAGCCCTTGACATCTTCGCCATCTGTAACTTTTCCCTTCCATTCAGTCCCAGCTTTGGCTCATCTCAACCAGGTTTCGTTTTCTTCACTGGAGGCCTCATCCAGTCGCCCACCAAGGCCCCTTCAGTTTGTATTATCTTTTATTCCTTTATGGAGCATCCCTCTAACTTTCAGCCGATCTCGTCATCTCAGAAACTTTGTAGAATGTCCACCTCTCCGGCCTTGCCCCGTCGCTGCCGTACCCCTAACCGTGGAGGTCGAAAACGCGACTGAGAGCTCAAGACCGAGGCACCGGTGCCCCAGCCTTTGTCGTATGCTCTGGTTGGTGTGCCGGCGAACTTTCGGACGTATTTCGTCGGTGGCAATTCGTCGCAGTTCGAGTTGTTGGTGCCCTTGGCCGAGGTGAGGACGCATTAAAGGCCGGTATTTAGACCGTAGCTTCACAGCAACTTGCAGTTACAGAGGTTCGGACATCCTCTTGCTTCTTTGATGGCGTATTGGCTTTTGGAGGTGTGAGATGGTTGTGGAGAGGGCCGCGAGATGAGTTTGGCTAGGAATGATTTTCCAGAGACGTAGAAAATGAGATCTTGAGGGTGTCGGTTGTTGTAATACGTACATCAGACAGGTTATAGGCTGTCTGCGATTCGTATCTGGGCTGTAGATGGTTGATTTCGTTGACTTGTGCAGTCATGAAATCTCTGCAAGTCAGATTTTCGACCAAAAATGAGCCAACACTACTCCTCCCGATCGCCAACTCGACGAAAACTCTCAAATTCACCCTTTGTCTTGACTGAATCCCGGCTCTGGGAGAATACTTCACTCCCAGGTTCGTAGAGGAAACCACTGATAGGAGTCCAGCCTTCGTCCGGTATCTTATTGTGTTATAGTGTTATGTTACAGGTTATCTACAGTCTCTTAAGGATGGCAAAGGTACAATTGTCAAAATGACTGGGGCTAGATCCCTGTGTATATCGATTAGATTGGTATGGTCTTCATGCAGGCCCATATCTAGTTATCGACTAGTTATGCAAGTAGGGGTACTATCCAACGATATTCCGTGAAAGTCTAAATTATGGAGATGGTTTTCAACTCAATGGGAAAAGTACAATGGTCCTCATTTATAATTGAAAATTAAAAAAATCAATTGTGTAAAACTTGGAGAGGTCTTCGTGTGAATGTCACGTGAATCTTCAAAAGATGAAAGCGAATACAAGAATGAATTGATTAATTGTCTCCGTGCTACGAGTCCATCGTAGCACTATAATATCTAGTTCTACCCTATTGACGCCCCTGATCATCATTACTATTCTGACATGCCTGCACGCAGATCGTGCTTTCGCTTTTGGACTGGATCCAGACTTATGCTTGCATAAGTCTGCTTACAAATTGATATTATTTCAAAATACACATCTATTTCAAAAGTAATTGCTCTGTGTTATAAAAGTATACATCGAAGCCCTCAGTATGGCTCACGAGTAAAATGTAAGTGGATTACATGTTTTGAATTAGTCTGCTCCATCCTAATACTTTTTGTACCCTCCATTTTCTTTCATCGCCTCTATACATCTTTCGTCCATATTATCCTCACTTAACGGAGGCTTCTTCCGAGAAATGCATCAGCTGTAATCTATTTTATTGAGGGCATTTGAAATTAAACGTTCACTGCATGCCCAGTGGCTGAAGGGCCCCATCGCTAGTTCCAAATAGCACATCTGTCGATGTTCAAGAGATTCCCGGACGAAAGCCTCAAGCTCATCAACTTGTTCCGCGCTTAATTTGGGTGAGAATTTTTAGCGAGGCTAAGGATTATCAGTCTCTCGAGCACATGCAAGTTGTACTCGCCTCATGGTGAAGCCAAGTTTGTCGGATATATTTTGAAGTGTCAAGCCAAGTCTTCTTAATGTTCTTCTTTCATTTCTTGATCGCGAGTTAGATGCTTGCGAACTTTGGTTTCTGAAGCAAACTTTTGGAGAGATATTGTTTACTAGAATAGAGGATGAATTAAGAATGATGTTAAGTTTCAAGGACTATGTGGGATAGGCAGCCAAACATGTCGTTGAAAATGTGGTATTCTAGTAGATTTTTAGAAGAAGACGTTTGGACCATACTTCATGGCGAGCGGGGTAATGACGAGAGATAGTCTAACCTATTGCGAGCTAGCCCAACTGCGCCTACAGGGCTAATCCCTTAAACAGCCCAGTTTGAAGTTTTACCTTTTATATCCCAGAGAGACTGCACATGATAATTAACCAATCCCACATACTTCTAGATAGCGTCGAAGCTTGTCTCTTTTAGGAGTGATATACGGGTGAGCGTAGCAATTGGTGGTATCTAATTTATCACTAAACTGTTTCCATTTCCCTGGCTCTGCACACTACACTACGTAGATGACAATTTACAACTAACGTGAAAAGCGCATTCATGACAAGGCGCACTGTACAAAGTGTGGCCTGGACTAGATAGAAGCCCAAGGTGCTGGATGGTTGCTGAATAAGCTAGCCTAATAAAGTTCAGACCAAAGACGGACGCTACCTATGCTCTCAATACACAATGGAACTAGCTCACGTCTGGATAACGGTGTTTTATTGGGAGAACGACTACTACTTGGTAAGATGAGGAAAATAGATTCATAGAGAGCGAAGTATGATTCATGCTGTAATATAAGAGCCTTGGTCAAACATAATCATCCCTGCGCCATAACATAACGGAGTTACGGTTGTGATTATTGTTTACTTGGGAGTAGAAAGGGTTAGACGTTTGGAGATCTTACATTCCTTATATCCATAGTTCCAAATTCGCGTGTAGATAAGCCTAGCAGTGGTAGGTTGGTACGAGCTAGGCTGCAGCATCCTCAAGAAAGGCTGAGACTGTTGCAATGAAAACGTTCATTTAACCCTATACTTTATCGAATCTATTTCCAGCCACTCTGTTCTATCTATCTGAACGAATCATAATCCAAAAATTCATACAGAATACATGACATGATACGGTAATGTGGAATGATTTGTCTATGCCAAGATCTAATGCTGTGTGGACTTCTCAATCAAGCAAGAGGTTGAGTAGCTAGAATTTCCAGCATTAGTCATCATTATCGACTTTAAGCTTGTTCGTCGACTTTACATATTGGCCTGTAATCACAGACACGGAAATAATTCATGAGATTGCTTAATGAGAGGCTGGGATTGATTCTGATGTAATTAGGTAGAAGACTTGTCCCAGCTATCAGAGGGCTACGACGTCTTTATCTATCTACAGATAAAATCCTAGTTTTCCAACAACGCTAGCCATAAAGGACGTAGCATATAAAACTTGATTCGTATCATCATTTTGGGGTTGAGCTTTACCGTGCATATGCTACTTGAGTCGCATATCTGACTACTATGCGACACGCTCAGTTGTCAATCTAAGAACCCACTCCAAACCGTAACTACTCATGTCGGTCAAAGGATCATATCTTGGCAGTATGAATTGTCCTATGTAGTTGCGTTATTCAGGTTATCGTTAGGACACTGACAGGGGTCTGATTTAGCTCATTAGCGAGGCGCTTGGAGTAGAGGAATGAAGGGCAGATGGCGAAGGAAAGGGGGAGACAGCGTTTTATGTATTTCGAGATACCAGTTAATTGACATTATTCACCGACTTCATGACGGCACCCAATTTGTATTACTTCGTGTTTTACCAACAACTCACAACCCTGATGATGACCCTATGAATAATTGGAACAGTTACCTGCAACATAGCACAACTAGGCTAGACATCATTGATCAGGACCTATTCCGAACACCTCTACATATAGTAGTCACTTGTATAGATGAAGCGTTGTATGCGGCACTTGTCCAGATATTCAGTTGGTAACTAGATTTCCCAAACGAGACTATTCCACTGAATCCAGCGATCCCATGCTCCCGCGTAGACTAGCTATATTGTAGAATATGTGAAATACTAAATCAATAATCATGCTTTCGGTTTCTGCTTAAATACTGGCCTGACAACGCCTCTGAGAGATACAAACGCCTTGGCTTTTATGTTAACGGGTCAGGACAAGCCTCGAGTAGAAATTTGACCGACACACGTTTATCTTTCTATCTGAAATATTGAGGTGTAGTCTCGGCCTTTTGATATAAATATATGGAGTATACTGCGTGCGCAGTTGCACGAAGTGATTTAAAGCACATGTTGCCAGCCGTCCGATGGGAAACGTTGAAGTAGATTCCGCAGTTTAGAGTCTGCGAAGCTTTTGCCAGGTATCTCAGAGTCATCTTTGTTGACAATATAATGAAGCAATCCAATTCGAGGCCGAGACAGAAAACCTCGAAAGCTCGCCACTTGATGCTTTAGAATAAGGGGTTCCAGTTAATGGAAGATATGCAGCTCCTAGAGAAACATTGAGGCCATTTGAAGTCGTTAATGAAGGGATGATCCTATTTATGTTCCATTAAACTCTTGAACAAATGATTTCTTGAGCCTTCTTTCCCCGAGGCTTTTCGGTCACGTGTGCTATCACACAAGTACTGCCTTTGCTGCACCTGGCTACAATTTGATATATGTTGCCTTCTGTACAATCGTCGTATTAGCAACTTGCACGCAACGCTCGCTAGCCCAGTGAATATACATACGTCCTCCGGGAATTTTGTTCCTCTCATCCTCCAAAGGCTTCATTCGTACACTTAAATCATAAGTACCTTCGGGTTCTGGTACATTTTCTGCCCTTTTGTGTTTTACAATATGCCATATCAGTTTAAGAAGGTTTTTTCTGATGCAAGGCCCGCGATGTCGACATTTAACTAAAGTAGCTTGGTAATAGCCAGTAATCTGCGTCAACTTCTTTCGCATTTTATCTCCGTCAAATGTTACCTTTGTTGAACACTTGTATTCTACATTCTCAGCTGCAGCGAAAACGATGAAAAAGAGTGCAAGAATCAGGAACGAATGGATGCGTTGTATTTTGCTTTCAAAGAACGAGTGGTGGAAACGAGTGGTGGAAAATGTCTTTGGGTTGGCGATTGTCGCCGATGTGGGTTGCTGGTGATTTCCAACTTCATGTCTGATGTCGCTCATCTATATACTTCTGAGTTCAGCCTCTTGACCAATAATCCAACCAACTGTACCAACCCAAACATTCTTCAAATCCTCGAGTCATGCGGGTCCTGAATTTCAGCTTTGGCTGATCGCTCCGCCCGCAGAATCTATTGGATGTTCAAACGTTTCATTTGTAGCGGTTTGTGAGTTAGACGACGCATTCAAATTTAGGCCTCAGGAGCCTAAACCCAGCCAATTGATGGAAATTGAATACTTGCGCAACGGTACTCCGACATGGCAGCGCATCGGGTGGACGGGAAATGAAAAGTATCACATTCAGGGAATATTTCGACTTGAGTAGTTTTGCACCCACCGGCACGGCTGAACCAAGACATGATGTGTTTCAGAGGCCTTTTGAGCGAAAAAAGCCTTTCCAACCCTTTCTAGAATTCGGGTTCAGACGAAGCTCGCAATGCTAAACAGTTCGGCTGCCTATCTTTTAGGGTTTGACCCTCAAATTTAAGAGAATTAACATTGGCATATTTCAGACTCCAAATTTATGTAGTGTGATTAGAATTTGAAGTTGAATTCACGAAGTCCTCCCCGGCCTTAGACTCAGTGGGGATAATCACATAAATCTAATCCAAACGAGTAGGCTCGCGATACAATGACTCACGAGCCGGCAATAATTACATTCTCCGCCTATGTAAGGGTTTCATGAATTCAGATGTGCTTGAAAGCCAATAACCCGATAGGAAGGAATAACTTCTTCCTTTGGTAGACAATCTACCACGTACTCTCCCATCCCTTATATGATCTGTGTAGACTAGTCTTAACTCCCTCTATTGGTCACCTCAGAGTCATCCTTTCTCCCCGCCTCATCTATTCTCCTTTACTAGACTTCCCATCTGGCACGTGCAACCCTTGATACCTCCCTAGCGGCCCACTCACATTTTCGTGAGCGTTGCTCTACCATAGCCTCAACTCGAAGATGGAGTGGTTCTAGTGACCAGTCCTAATCCCAGCAAAGCCCGTCACAGCCTACCAGTGTTGCATCTGTAACGCTCTGTGTGAGCTCACAAATCTACGAGACATGGTTACGCAGGAGAATGAATCACAGATCTGAAATCGAGCCTTCTTAGACCAATGGCGCTGTAGATAACTATGTTATCACAGGTATTTATCCTCTGCGGGAGAAAGAGGGCGCGTACAATTGGCGTGTCATGCATGCGACTCGAGATTTGTTTCATTTTTTTTGAATCAGATTTTAATTGCGTGCGCAAATATCTAGCTATGACACAATATCAAAGAAAAGTAAGTAAAAGATGACTCAACTTAAAGGAAGAGCACTCCTGCCTCGGATTTGATTCGCAAGTACTACTGCGAAGTTATGGCGGCTTTTTCTTCACCCCAAGTCAACCCTCATCCGTGAATACCCACTCAGGGGAATATCTCAAAATCCCCGAATTATCCATTTATTCAACTCGGCGCGAAACGGGGTTTTAGGTGTCTCCTTCCCCAATGGAATAGGTGCCCAGGCTACTCAAACTATACCAGAGAACACCACATACACATGACTTATGTCTATAGTATCAGCTGCACTCTCGCAAGCGAAGTCTGGCGTATACAAAGCTCAATTCATAAAACTCATGACAAAATTCCACAATTCACGCCCATCGAAGTTGTATCCTTCCCTTGCATCATCTTGTTAACTTGTCCTGAATCGTCTCACGTCCATCCCGAAGAACTTTCTCCCAGATTTATGAGCCACGCTTTGTTTCCTCTGTAGAGAGTAAATGTCGGCGTGGGCGTGTATTTGGTGGTCAACCGAGGCCAGAGAAGGTCGGAGAGAGGTGTGGTCACAGGGATGAGGATGTACTAGGTCGCACTTGTAGACTTGATGAGGCGTAGGTGGGTTTCGATCTCATTGGGATTGAAAAATTGACATGGTGGAGTAGTTTGAATCATTGCTATGTGGACCAACTTGTTCTGTATTGCGAAATTTGACTGAACTTGGCTCTGGGAGAATATTTCACTCCCAGGTTCGTAGATGCCTCGTACAGGTGTTCAGTCTTGCCCTCCCAGGGGTGCACTTATGACAACTGTGACAGTCACATCACTATACCAGGTCCTTACTCGTCTTTTTTATCATTACCTTTTAATAAAGTCGACGCTCATCTGGGAGATTGAGGACTTCCAACGACTCAAATTTCCGCTTGTCCCAATTCAGTGCATAGATATTGGCGATATGTTGCAATTTAATGCTATTCCAATTTGAATTAAGATTAAGGCTCCATTGACATTGGGAAATATTAGCCATTAATCACCTAACAACTAAATCTATTGTTCTCTCATCTCCGTGCTCCCCTCGAAAATAAGGCTGACTCCTCCTCTGATACCAAGCAGTTCTCGCCTTGGTCAATCGAACCAGTGCCAGTGCTTGGCTGTCGTCCTTGGTGGACCTAGAAGAGCCAAGCAGCGTTTGATCATGTCAACTCCTTCACTCGAATGGCAATCCTTTTTCATTTGAATGAGCAGCGTCGTCATGTATTCTTTTAATAGATATCATGTACGCAGAAGCCTATTATTTTCATGCTCTCGGAATTTTGGGATTCTATAAGTATGGCCTTTCCCTCCTCCTCCTCCTCGTTCAAACATCGCACTGCCCGATAAGCTGTACCATTCAAGTTGAATCCATCTTCATCTTCTTCACATTCTTCGTGTCGTTGTTCAGCCGTTCAAAGTAGATATATCGTGGCCATACACTTCTGAACCAGAATAATACCGAAGTCGAGAAACTTTTCACAATGCAGCTCTTCCGTTCAGCCTTAGTTGTGTCGCTCTCGATGTTTTCAGTCTCAGCCAGCGCCCTCAGTGGTGTATACAGGTGCCCTGGTCACAAAGATGACGTGGAAGCGAAATATGTGGAAGAGTATATCAACAGAAATGTTATTGATACAGAGAAGGCAGATTGGGCTCACTTCGAAGAGAATGGCGTTCAATATCAAAATCTCATCTTGTTTGTGATAGACCCTTTAACAGGTCTGTTGATCTTGTCCCAAACACAATTCGAAGCACCCAACACTAATGTAGATCAGACCCTAAACAAGTTCTTATTATGGTGAATAAAGATAAAACCATGGTAAAACTACGCATCCATCATGGTAGAGATTCATGGCCTTGCAAGTATATTCCGGCAGAAGACACAAAGAAACTAAGTGGTAAGGACGTAAAAAGGATTGTCTCACGAGTTGTGAGGAAATGAAAGCGGATTGAGAGATAGATATTTAAAGCTCATTTAATAGGGGTCAAAGACTAAGTAATGAAATATTTAATTTTTCTCCATCCACCTAGCGTGTGTACCAGAGCAAACTATATGACTGGGAGCCAGGGATTAATTCGTCATAATTTCTTGATCCCGATTTGGTGTCCTACGGGCTTTTCTAATTGTCCATCAACTTCAAGGTTCAGCTTGGAGGGAACACGTTGGTAGAAATACCCAATCCTCTCTGTTCGGTGTCTTTGGTTTAACTCGTTGACCTACAGGAAGCGCAGTTATATCGTAGTTCCATTTACAAACTTGTTCTCATCTTGTCTGTTACTTCCGACAATTCCTGGCGTAGCTCTTCTCCTTCAATTTTATTTCAACTGCCCTTGCCAATAGGAACGAAATTGGAAGTCTTGCTTAGTCTTCTTGTAGTATGAGAGAAGTATGTATACCTCTATACCTGTCTCATGCACATTATTTCATGAGTTCATCCTTAGATGCATTCTCCTTACGCCGTGTCTAGTCTGACCTATATTCTACCGCCATGATTGTTCTCTGTCTAATATCCTAGAAGCTGGCCAAGTTGATTATTTACTCATGACTAAAATCAAGTGATCTGTCCCGTTCCATCGTCACTTAAGTGTGATATATTTATGGTACTACTTGAGTGATAGACTAACTAGCACATTGGGTTCCTCTCTGACCCAGGCCAGACCTTGTACGTTGCTCCTACCCTCTTTTGTTACTTGTAAGATCATTGATATATTGCCCTTGATGAATAGCCATTCAGCTCAGTTGTTACAGGACCTAGTGCACAAGCTCCTGCCGTTCACTGTGTGCGGCCGGGGGACTATTCTCAACACCTGTCAGTGGTGTCCCCTACGAACCTCCCGCTCTCACTGTAGAGTCTGCAGAGCCAAGATTGAGTAACATCTTTTCAACTTTGAACTGAGTTATCTCCCCCTCCGTCAAAGATACGCTTCCGATAATATGTAAGACGACCAAAACGATGATAATGATGCTGAGAATGATGAAAGATAATACGGTACCAAACGCTATAATGGTAGTCAGAGAGGCCCTCGTTATATCACAAGTGCTACCCACCGGAGGGCGAACAAAAAGCCCACGAAAACAAAGAAAAAGACTGTTTTGTTTTGTTCATTTACGTGCTAGGTATAGTGATTCCCGTTGTACTCCTACTGGAGCTTAAGTACGGGTGGGGCCGGGCCGGATCAGGTTAACTACCGTAAAGTATAAGTGCCTCGTCCCATCTAAATGACTGGACCACCTCAGACATCACTCCTTTGTTGAATCATGTCAAGCCCAACCGTCCAGAGAACCCCATTTTGACGCGCCAAAGCGCAATTTCCGCCTCAGCCTCGGCTACCACGCGCCAGAGCCCTTGACACCTTCGCCATCTGTAACTTTTCCCTTCCATTCAGTCCCAGCTTTGGCTCATCTCAACCAGGTTTCGTTTTCTTCACTGGAGGCCTCATCCAGTCGCCCACCAAGGCCCCTTCAGTTTGTATTATCTTTTATTCCTTTATGGAGCATCCCTCTAACTTTCAGCCGATCTCGTCATCTCAGAAACTTTGTAGAATGTCCACCTCTCCGGCCTTGCCCCGTCGCTGCCGTACCCCTAACCGTGGAGGTCGAAAACGCGACTGAGAGCTCAAGACCGAGGCACCGGTGCCCCAGCCTTTGTCGTATGCTCTGGTTGGTGTGCCGGCGAACTTTCGGACGTATTTCGTCGGTGGCAATTCGTCGCAGTTCGAGTTGTTGGTGCCCTTGGCCGAGGTGAGGACGCATTAAAGGCCGGTATTTAGACCGTACCTTCACAGCGACTGGCAGTTGCGGAGGGTTGGACACTCTCTTGCTTCTTTGTTGGTAATTTGACTTTTGGAGGTATGGGATTGCTTCGGTAGGTGGTGAGATGATTGTGAACAGGGCCGCGAGATGAGTTTGGCTAGGAATGATCTTCCAGAGAAAAGGTAATTAGACCTTGAAGGTGTCGGTTGTTGTAATACGAACATCAGACAGGTTACAATCTGTCTGCGGTTCATATTTGGGTTGTAGATGGTTGATTTCGTTGAGTTGTGCAGTGGTGAAATCTCTGCTAGTCGGACTTTCGACCAAAAATGAGCCAACACCACTCCTCCCGATCATCACCTCGACGAAAACTCTCAAATTCACCCTTTATCGTGACTGAATCTCGGCTCTGGGAGATATTTCGCTCCCAGGTTCGTAGAGGGCACCACTGACAGGTGTTCAGCCTTCACCCTCCCGAGTGATACTCGTGTCGTCGTGTCGGTAATCTTAGTCGCCATTTGAGAATATATGTGCATGAGGTGGATCCCGACTTCTACCATCCCCAATGAGTCGTGTGGAGAAGTGCGTCACATAAGGATTGAACAAGAAAACATAAATTTCTGCCTTGATTAGTAGGCAGCAACTCAAACATAGCCCGTCTCAAGACTGTAATGGTGGTTAATTCATGTTAGAGTAATTCGATATGGTGATACCGGGGCAACGGCGACAACTATATATCGAATATCGGTACTATGCTATATTTACTATGGGAACGTGAGGCGTGTGCGAGGGAAATATAGCAATCTCGAATATCTTTACGGCGAGCCCGCAGTGTAGATCTCAGATGATTCTAAGTTTTATATGTCCCAGGGAGGAGGTGCCTTCTCTTTTCAATTTCTCCGAGCATTAGTCTGATCAAAGGGGGAGTGGATGAAATTTGCGGAAAGTTTACAAAATAATGGACGTTAAGCTAGAGAAGTTCAATTCAAGTACACACGGACTGGGGCCGACACTTTGGTGAAATGAGCACAACTCGTCATGATATTTACGAAAAAAATCTAGATTAAGTACCTCTGACGTATAAAGAGTTATTTAAGCAGGACTTTCTCAAAACCAGTCGGTAAAGTCCTCTACGAACCTCGAGCTCTCACTGTGGGATCTGTAGCGCCGGCATTGAGTAACATCTTCGTCCTCATTTCGACGAGGAATCCCAATCGCTTTCGCAGTCTGCGTCATCTTCATCACGCAGCATAATCCCCTATCACTTTTGACATGCAGTTAACAACGATTATATCAGATGTTGGCATCGGGGCCTAACTCAATACCCACCCTTGATCATGGAGAAGTCATCCAATGAATTTCGGAGTGTACCGAGCACCCGATACGGCGATGGTAGATTAATCGATTTATTTTGAGGTCCCGGGCACCAGCCCAGCGCCTTATGGCACGGGACTGGTGGGCTCGGTAAGGATTATCCTAAATAGCTATGCCCTACTCGTTCCCACCACACTGTTACTATGTGACTCTGATTACAAACAACCAAAACCCAAAAGAAATAGCAAACAAAACCAACTGAAACAGAGCAAATTAACATGTATGAGCGGTGCTAGTATTTCTCATACTATGCCCCCCTCAGTCATTTCTCTTGTCCCGACAAAATAATCACTCAGGCCCTCGCATCAAGCTGAGGGCGAGTCTGCATCCATGCTCCCAAAGCAGCCGGTATTCCTTGCAAATTCTATGAACTTCTCGAGACCTGCTGGTCCGAGGAGTTGGTTGGTATAGTCTTCCACGGTCATGGATCTTCTCAACCTGCGCATTATAGCAGCATTCCTCCTACATCGGACAAAACGAGTTGGCGTTTTCCTTTGTCAACAAACGCATTCCAGTTTCGCGTCTTCGTGGTTCAGGCGGCGGTGATAATCCGCAAAGTCTCCATGTCCTTATCTTGCTGCCAAGAGCTTATGGAGTAATCATCGCGAAAGACCTAGTTCTGGTGGTTTCTGACGTCGCATCTGTAAGTCCAAGTCTCGATATCTGTCCGGACCCGACTTATTCCACCAGTCTTCCACTAGTTTTTGTCGGCGATCGTGCATTAAACGGCGTATATATGCCTGCGTTGTTTGCACTGGCTGTGTCTGTCTATCTGGCAGCAGCTGAAGACCGGCCCGAGCTTCTGCGTCTGCTTCTTCGTTGTCACTAATATTAGAGTGTCCAGGCACCCACCTCACTGTCACATTCGCTTCTGAAGCGAACTTGTGAAAGACGCGGGTTATCTGCAGCGACGATGATGACTTCCCCGTCCGAAGCGCAAGTATAGCTGCCTAATTGTCAAGAAGAACGAAGATCCTCTCACGGTTCTTTCGAGCGCGCATATCTTCCCGAAGTGCTGCTGCTGCTGCTCCTGCAATTTCTGCATCATAAACTCCACCGCCATGTAGACGACCGTGGCCTTTTGCAAATGTTTGTCCTCTGCGTTGGAGGACATATCCCCACGAGGATCGTCCGTGGCCTTCAGATGACCTATCAGAGTAGGCGCATATGTCAGAGGGAGAGATCGTGCTGGCCCAGTTGTAGTGTACTTTGACTCTCTTCTTTCTTTCCAAGACTTGATGTGTACACTGGGCCTGCCAGCCCTTCTGCCTCTGTCACGGAATGGGGTCGTGATATAAACAATCGAACGAAGTTAACGAAGTCTCTTCTGATTATCTTAAACAATGATATAAGGAAGATGTCTCTACAGCGTATTTAAGAATTTTCAGTACAATGATAATTCACCGGGGTAATGTTAGTGTTACCTAAGATCGACATTACTTAAGTGGGTCTCCAGGCCTTATTTGGGGAATCTATCTTGGTAACCTTAAGCCCGTAACAGCCTCTTCGGACGACTCCGGGAGCTGTCGAAAAGCACGCTGTAGGCGAGACATCTGAGTTTCTGGTTGGCGCCTGACTCTCTTCCTTAGCTTGTACTTCTGCGAGCCAACGTTAGGGCACTCGCTTGTGTGGTTCCAGAGAGGGTGACGGTCATCGAGCGACTGGATCCTGGCTGCTAGATGGAGTCGGATTCCTTCGAGGAGAATCTTTGCCGGTGGGATGCCCCCTTCCCTATGAAGAAGGACATTAGGCGAGGTCCTCCAGACTGGTAACGCGGCACGTAGGGCTAGTTGAATGGTTTTGTCGATCAGACT